ATGAGAATTCTATATCCTTAAATCAGAGTTCAATAAGCAATTAATTTAATATTTGTAAGAATATTTGTAATATTCTACACAGGTGTATTATTCAATAAATATTCATTTTCACTATCTTACATACTTTAAAGCTCAATCTGTTCCTATAAACCTAAGACTGCTGACTTTAATATATGAACTCCAACATTTTAATATCTAGATTGCCTAATTTTAATGTTATTTGAGCATAAAATGCCTGTTATATCCAAACAGACAAAGCAAACTCTTTCACTTTCAGATAGTATATTCTAGTGCGGAAAGTAAAAGAGGATCCCTGTTGAGTTCTCACGTAAGAGAAAGGGATGCTTACCTATTTATTTACTGGTGTGTGTTCCAGCTTTTAATTGGTACTGACTGATTTGCTCGATTTTCAAAGGAAACTTTATTATAACCCAAGAGAATTTATTGAAAGCAGCAAGAATACGTTTGGGATATTTTTAGCACAGCCGTTGCTGGCTGTTTGGTAATGAAAGAACAATTTCAGTGTTCTGTATTGGGAAGAGTAAAAGTAAAGGGTATTCTGAAAGGGGAAAGGGTGGTACTGTTGGCTACTGTGGCCAGCAATTTTTTTCTCTCCACTTAGCAGTAGCTGAGTATTGATACAGGAAGACATCAGATTCTACTAGACTACATCCCCAGGTTTATCTTTAATTAAGAACTAATCTTCCCTTTGAGCCCTGTCACCTATTAGACTAATTAGAAAGTAACTTCCTAGAAAAAACTAAAAGGAAAAAAAGAAAAAAGTTTACTTTCACAGATAATAGAATAATATTCTTCAACTGTGATATTCAAAGTGCTATCTGAACAGCATCAGTTGGCATTTTGAAGGAGGACTAGAAAATATCAACCCCCTGCTTCCAATCCCAAACCTCAGATTCAGAATTTTTGTCTTATGAATCTGAGGCTGACTGAGGTTTGCTTTTTAAGATTGAGAAGCTGAGGCATAGAGGAAGAAGGATTATTGCAGAAAGAAATTCTGATGGGTGGTTCTTTTCTTGAGCCAACTGAAGAATGTATCAAGAACCTATGGAATCTAATATTAAAGTAGCAACATCATGGAATGTAAATGGATATCTGTTCAGTTTAATTTGTCTCTGTGCACCATTTATAAAAACCTGTCTCTCTCATCCCCATCATTGTGGTTGCTGTTTGTGATCCTGCAAGATCATTCACTTCTGTACCCTCAGAAAAGTGAACACAGGAGTGAGGCCACCTCCTGCAAGCAACAGCTTGTTTTGGGTCTGAGTCTGAGTCAGAGCTCTACAAGTATAGTCTTCTGCATGTGGACACTTTGGCCATCCTATCTTTAGCCTGAGGAAAGAAATTGCATTTGGAGTTGCTTCTTGATGATCACACCTAAGGTTCTTGCATGAGAAGGGACAGTTTGCTATGGAAATCAGAACACGGAAAAGCTTAGGGCCTTGGTTGTGTATAGTCAGCATCACCTTTAAGCAAGATGCTACTCAAGGAGAAAATTTCCCTCTGGTACTGGCTCTTCTACTGAGCAGATGGGAGTTATTTTATGGTAATTGCTAGGAATTCATCCCTCCTTTCATTCTTCCTGCCTCAGTCGTATGCCTCTGTGTGTGTGTGTGTGTGTGTGTGTGTGTGTGTAGCATTTCACAGAAATTCTAAAACTAAAAAGATTTAAAGGGTTTAATATACAATAAATGAGAAACTGGAATTTTTTTGATATAAAAGTTTAGAAGATAGTAGCACTTTGTGCTTACTTTACATCACCACAAAGTCTATAATGAGAAAGAAACCTTTCTTTTTGAAACATTAATTAAATCCTTAAAAGAAATCTTGCTTTCAATTATATATAATGTGTGTGTGTGTGTGTGTGTGTGTCTGTGTGTGTGTGTGTGTGTGTGTATGTATGTCTTTCTACATTAGAATTATTCTCTAATGGTAAATTCACTGCTCAGAACAAATGAGTTGTTTTTTTCATTTTTACTTAAATTAATTTGTAACTGATACATAAAAATATACCAATTGTGCAGCATAATGTAACCACAGTAACAAATCTTAGGATTTCTGGCAGATAGTCTTTGCCATAATGGTTTCTTTTTCTTTCCTTAATTTTGGTACAACATTTTATATCCTTAAATCTAACATTAGTTAGAAAGTAGTCTTGGTATGATATTAGCCTCCAAAATCGTTAATATTACAAACAGATTTTGAAATATATTTTACTTAGACTAGCACAAAAGGGACAAAAATTAACAGAGCCCTCGTTCTCCAACCCATTAATTTAATGCATAATTATCATGCCATGTTCCTGGCCATAGAATGGGTTGTAACAATAATGACCAAAAATGTGAACATTAATTAGCAATGTGGTAGTAATGGATTTAACCTACATTTCCTTAACTACTAGTTGTGTTATTTTATTATCAATTCTTATTTTATTTTCAATTTGTAGACATTTTCCCATCACATGTAAATTAGTGTTCATCAAGGTACAAAAGCATGCTTTAAAACAAGCTAAAAATCCCATTTCCCATAGACTTTCAGTTCTACTCCTTGTGTCCAAAGCATGTTTCAGAGAATTCTCTTCTTGGTAAGGGGTTAGTGTAGGAGTAACTATCCCTGTTCTGTACATAGCATCCTCTCAACTTTTCAAAAGAAAAAAAAAACTCTCTGAATTTCCATTGTCCTTAGTCATTTCCAGCATACTCATTTCAGCCCTTTGTCATAGATGAACCACTAAATTAAACCTGAGTCTTGTCAGTAGCTCTCATTAAAAGGGAAAGAATACACAAAGTGAGGTTTCTAATTTTCCAGCTTTCAGTAGTCACTATTTGCCTATGTCTCTGATGTCACGATGAAACACGATGAGTATTTAGGTAAAGAGCATTATCAGAGGCTTATCTATGAATGACTACTTAAAGAACAAAGAAGTGCACATGTCATGGAGTAGTGAGCAGGCTGTACTGTTCAGTCATTACGGGGTGGTGTATGCTACATTTATATGTGGCCCTTCTCAGCCTGGATATGAGTTCATTTCAATGACGAGGCAGAGCTTCTTGTTGTGCAGCTTATATATTCAATATATAAAAGAATATATTTTATAATATAGTTAAAAGAATGCAAAAAACAATTTATATAGATCGTGTGGGAATGCCTGTGTATGGGCTGCACACACATGTGCATGCATGCATGTCTGTATTTGATGTTGGGAGTCCACCTTAGGGCTCTGCAGTTCTGGAAATCTAAGTACCCTAACACAGTGACATAGGGCACTGACAGAGGCACAGTTTGCCTTCTGAGATCTCTGAATATCCTCTATCATAAATGATCTATGGAGATATTTACAAGACATCATATAAATGACTGAACAGGAAAATGCTATCATAATGTGTCTGCATTGACACTAATTGTTAAGCTAATACATTGTCCAATGTATCCGGTTGCATTTATAATCATGGGCCACAGTTTTGTAGGCACATCGTATGGTGCTCTTCTCAATGTTTGTAAATAGCTGCTTTGTGGCAATAGCATGCATGTAAACAGAATATTAGTCTCTTAAATGTCTTTGCTTAGTAAAAAAAAATCCACTTTTTAAAATCAAATTTGAAAAATGGATTTCGTTTTCAATGTGGTAGTCGAAAAATACTTGAAAATATTATTTGATACAAACTGAGACATTATAAAATAGCATTTTAAATAAGCCATTTAAGACAGTGGGTGCTTCAAATCTGCCCCCCCACCACACATTTTATCCTTATACCACCCACTGAAAGATCTATAAATGTATTCATTGCTTCCTGGCATCATCTAAACGGAGGAAAGGAAAATTCTTAAACTTTAGCCTATGACAATAAAAAAAATACCTCACTAGGAATGGAACAAACAACAATAACTGTTGCGGAGAGAAAATCCGAAAGGATCCCAGTTCCTCAGCAAATTTAAATTTCTATTACTGGAATTATTTCTCTTTCTGGAGCGGAATAAAGATGGCATTTTCTTCCTGTCAATCTAGTTGACTGTTCCCTGGGTGGTGGGTTCTAGAAAAGCAACAGGCATTTCCTTCCCTGGAACTCTCACAACTAGAAAAGGGCTTCCCAGGGTGAAAGAAAACAACCAACAACAGACGAGGTTGCTCTGACTTGAATCCCTTTACCACAGCCCCAGAGAAAAGACATGCTATGAAGATGAGCAGAGGGGGAAGGAAGGAAGGACCTATGGTAAAGTGTTGATCCCTTTAAATTAATGAGTATGTTAATCCAGCCCCCCACCTCAGTCCTGTTAATCATCAGATCTCTATTTTTCTGCTCAGGTTTCTAGAATAAAGCAAAGCCACATGATTCTCCTCCAACTTAAAACTTGCAAGCTTCAGGAAGACAAACACATGAGCCCTCGCATGGGTCCAGAATGCCTAGAAACAATCTTGGTCACTTCTGCTGTTAGCAATCCTGATCTCAGCCTGTTGCTTTTGCCACACACTGCGCTGGATTCTGTGGTAGGGAAGGGACACTTGTGCACTCTGTCATCCTAGTGGTTGAGCTGGGTGGGTTGGGGCTTTCAGGTTGCTGGAGCTGTGGAGATTTGCGGGGTGCATAGCTGGCTGCTAACTCCTGGTTCGGGGGAGACCCCAGTGTACGCCACCTGGCTGCCGGCAGATGGTGCCCTGCACATCCCGACAGTCAGGGAGACCCGGCTAAAGTAAGGCTCAGACTCCGCCCCAGACAATCCACCAGCGCAACAGTCCCCCTTCCTTCCCAAAATAGTGCGGAGTACGTCTCCTAAGGAGCACTGCGGTAGCCTGTGTGTGTGGAAAATACAAACTATGGGGCAACCGACAGTGTGTGTACTGGAGTGGGGCGTACGCGTGGAGTGGGACCCTGGGGACCAGGGCCGAGGTGACCACCAATGAAAAGCAGAGGACAGGGACAGGTTCATTTCGCATCTGCGTAAGCTCGGCCCGGCCGCCAAGCCCTTGGGGAGGCCACACTCACCATATTCACTTCCGAGACCATGTCTATGCTGGCGACATCGATCCGCATCCCGACGTCCACCGGGGGCCCTGCCGGGGAGGTGGACCACAGCAAAAACAGTCTTTGAGTGGCAGGGAGCTGAGGGGACATTGGGGGCTTCCCTGATCTTATTACAGACTAACCAGGCTCCCTCCCTACCCCTTTCCCATTGTAGGGGACAGCCCGAGAAAACAGGTGTGGGCACACGCGTGATGCAGTGACAGTGCAGAGGGTGTGTCGGCTTGAGGAGAGGGACAGCTCAGCCTGAGGATACGTCCACCTGAGACTGGATATAGTGCGTGTGTGTGTGTGTGTGTGTGTGTGTGTGTGTGTGTGCAGGGCGTAGTATTGTATGTTTAAAGAAATGGTAAAATGGGGAAGGAAGCATTATATCTGACAGAAAAGGTGAACTAGGGATAGGTTACAGGTTGAAAAAAAAAATGAAGAAGCTTTACCTCCAAAGTCCGGCCGCAAGCGAATGTCATATCCTTTGAGCAGTCGGTCCACTGTCTCTTTCACGTATGACATGTTGCTGGGTTCATTGGAGCTGAAGGGAAGAAGTAGAGACCGTATTCAGAATGATCACAAACAGACATAAAAAAGACCCAGGCACATCTACCACCAAATAACAAGATACATGATCCAGCAGGCATAGGGAAAAAAAAAGAAAAGAAAAACACCAAGGGGAGGAAAAAAAAGGAGATATTGAAGCAGGCAGCTCACCTGTGTGCACAACAAACCATGGCAACCATCACAGGAAAAGAGAGAAGCCCCAAACTCTCTCGATTTTGTACTGTCCACATTACTAACTCTGATGAAAGAATTGTCTTTTCTGCGAAGATTCAAGGAATGCAACTTAGTCGGCGGCTGGGCAGTAATTCCCGAATGGACCTGCGCATGCGCAGAGGGTACTCACTACCAAAAGACACCTTGTGCCTTGCAAACAATATTCCTAGTGGAACAGGCAACAGATTTCAATCCCTTTAAAGTTCCTGTCTGAGGTGCTCCGCGTTCTCCTGGTAGTCAAATACAACCCGCTGTCTCTATGCAAAGGAGCCAAGGTGCCTGCCTGCGTGTGCCCAGTTTTCCCGCTGTGGTTTGCTGAGTTCCTTTCCCTCCTGTCCTAAGCTTATATTTTTTTCTTTTTCCTTCCCCTTTCTTTTCTTTTTCTTTCTTTCTTTCTTAATTTTTTTTTAACTGAGCTTTCAGTGATCTGGCTAAGGCTGTCTGTGATTGGCATCTTTTGTTGACAGTTACAGAGGTCCTAGAACAAGAAGTCTGGAGGTGGTTCTCTGGTTGCCTGTAGAAGAGGAGGGGAGGGGAGGGTGCTGGAGAGGGGAGTGGGCAGCGACAGCCCGGAAAAGGAGTGGGGGGCTGGGAGAGCAGAGGAAAAGGCAGGGAGGGTTTGGGAATCTGCTAATCTCATCCTCTTCTGAGGTAACCAGGGCAGCCGCAGGCTTGCTGTAGTGTTTGGTGGGGTTTAGGAGGAGAGGGAGAGCTGACCAACTTTTAAATGCACGCTGTATCTTTCTTCCTCATCTCCATGAGTAATTTGGAATGGGAAGTGAAGGAAAGAAGGATGGGCAACCCTGGCAACGAATTTCTTTTTCCATGACCTTTGCTGGCAAATCTTGTAGTTTTTTAGTCACCCAAACTTCTTGCTTATAACTGCCAGTGTGCTAACTCCTGTTGGTGATCCCTAAATAGAACACTGAACATCCTAGGTCTAACATGCATTATGCAGCTCAAGAGAAACCAATCTCCTTTGAAATAAAGAAAGTTAGTAAATGCAATTCAATAAATATCACTAAAACATGTTAGGTGGTTGGAGACTCCGGAATAGGCTCTTGTCCTTTGTTAAATAGCATGTATCAAGTTTTCATTTGATGTTAGGTATTCTGAAACTTAGAGTAAACTTAAGAGTGTTTCTAGCCTACAGAAATTCACAAATTGCTTACAAACATAAGCAAAAAAAAAATCACTTCATCCTTATATTGTCTGTATAGACTGCAGAATTATTATCATACCAAGAAGCATCAGAAATTATCTTAGAGGAGGAGAGAAAATAGACGGAATAGAAAGCTTTTGCCTGGTGAGGAAGGGAAATTCTTCTTGAGGGAAAACAGTATGTACCAAATCTTATAGACTAGAAAGCTTATTTGTATAACTGTATGCAGAAGAGATCTATCGTAGAGAGGGGAGAGAAGAAGTTGACGGTGGGTGATAGGATGTAGAAGAAAGTTGAGGAGATCACTTAGAATTCAGGGAGACACTGAATATTTAAACAAGGATGGCCAGAGTTGGATTTTAGAGGAAAAAAAAATTCTGATAGAACAGTTGTGATGAGGATAATTGACATTTCCCACTGGCTATCCCTTGTTCTCATGCGCACAACAGGGGTCTTCTCATCCAAACCTTGCAAAGCACATGAATAGGGACAATGAAGAGACTGCTCTAGACTACTGAAACCAGTGGTTAATGTCACACTGCTAACAAGTAGTGGGATGTACACTTTAACCTAGAATCCTTGGGCACTGCTACTCTTCGGATTATATAGCAGAGACCATAAAAGCAAAAATTAGATAAGGGAAACAAGAAGACAAGGAAGTTACTGCCGAAGGAAATAAAATAAGATACTGTATAGCTTGGAGAGAAGTAGCAGGTACACTCTTCCTAAAGTATACTAGAGACATCAAAAGATTCCAAGAGTCAGGAGCTAGGTACATATGAATGAATGGTCCTTAAACAATTGTACAATCATTTCAACATGTACTGAATTTAACATTCTTAGAAAAGAAAAAAAGGTATAGTAACATTAATTTCACATATTTGAGCACCATAAAATCCTCAACCCTCAACGTTAAGTCTCAGATTCCTTAAGTCTGCTTGAGAGGATGTCAATTTGTTTTCCAAACATATATGGATCTTCTTTTAATGGGTAAAAGAGAAAATTTATTCACATCTCAAAGCTCTGCTGAAACAGGGAATCTCTGTTCTGTACAACTCTGCAAAAGCCACGCTGTGGAACACAAGCCACTTACACGTTTACCACATTCCTTAGCTGTGCATTTATTCCTTAGATATTTACTGAACATTTAGTAGGTGCCAGCCTTTGTGCTAGGAGCTGATGGTATAGCAGTAAACAAAACAGTGTTCAATTTCCCTTCTCACCTGTGGAGGTTATAAACATACGCAAGTCAGAAAAGAAAACTGTTTGGTGCTCACTGTGGCTGTTCATTTAACTTGCACAAGATTCATTAGAATGCACACTTTCTAATTGGTTATAAAATCCCAAAATCCTTTCCCGGTAGAAAGTATCATTTGTTTAGCAAGGTCTGCTTAATAACCTTGACTTCACCCTAGAGTCAAGATGTGAATTTGGATACTTTAACCCTAGTGTTAAGCATGCTTCTGCCAGATCAATCCTACTAGATTTTGCTTTTAAATTATACTTTCTGCTTAGATAAAAGGACAGTTTAAGAAATCATGTGATAGTTTTTTCATTTTTATTAGCATGTGTCAATGGTATGAGTTATGTTTTATCGTAACATTTCAGGTGATAGTCACCACTTATCATTGGAACACTATTGAAGACAGAACCTAGTTTATCTTAGTCCATTATGTATGAGGAGGGTCTCTGGGAAAATAGTTTCCCAGACCTTCACACTCTTGAAATTATCTGGTTTCCTGATTAGTTTGCATCTTAAAAACAATAAGTATCTTAAAGCCCATCAAATCTCCTACTTGTGCTGGTCACTGGGCATGGAAGAATCATATATACTGCTTTACTCATTATGCAAGACGTTAATGACCTGCATTTTGATACACTGCATTTCTCCTTGACGTTTTAGGAGTCTAAATTTAATCTCCCCTCTTCACACTTTACTAATTTAAAAACAGATATGTTGCACTGAATATATAGAGTTTGTGAGTTGTCTCGGAACTGTGAAATAAATAAACCTTAAAAACTAAAAAGAAATAAGTTAATAATTGATCCAGATGCTTTGGGGATTTTTTTTCCCCTCACAGCCTGAAAAAAGGCAACACTTCCTTCTCTTGTGAAGTTGTTTGTTTCTTCCCAACACCTTTTTCTCCCTTCAGAGCTCAACCCAATTTAAAAAAAAAAAATCTGTCTCTGAAGCCCTGAAGGCCATTGACAAGCTCCGTTCTAATTCCTTCTGTCCAACCTCTTAGAAGAAAATGGAAGAACTTTAAAAACTAGCATCCAAATTAAAATAAAGGTAATTAGAAACACATTCACAAAACGTTAACAAATATTCTTAATATTTCTTTAGACAGACAATAACAAGGAAACATAAGAAAAACTATTGTATTACAGTAACTTCAAAAGTACCAAATGGATCTGAAAAAAGCTGAAAAACAGGAAGAAAGAAAAAAAAAGAAAATAGAGAGAGAGATGAGGAAAATGTAAGAACTGAAAATTGTAACATTTTATCTATGCTTATAAAGAACAAACAAGTTAAATAAAAATTCCTGCAATTCAAATAGCAATTGAAAATGAAGTTCTAAAGTTTAAATGCAAAAGTGGGAGGTCAGAATAAGCCAAGACAAATTTGGATGTAGATAGATAGATAGATAGATAGATAGATAGATAGATAGATACATACATACATACATACATACATACATACATACAATAGAGTTGAGGAAATTTGCTTTAGGGTATAGAAACATATTTAACCTATAAAAATGATAATATTCTGTTGTTTGAGTCTTGTGTAAAGATAAGAAAAACTAGCACAAGCACATATAGAAGCTTGAGGAATGGTCTGGTAAAGCATAAAAGGTTAAATACAATGGAAGTCTATAAGGAAACTTATTATTCATAAAAGAGTATTTTACTTTGTTACATATACAAAATTTTAAGACAAGTAGAGATAAAAATAAAGATAAAATGCAAAACTTCAGAATGCTATAAAAGCTGAGTAGAATCTACTTTTCGTCTTGCTTCATAGAATGAAGTTTAGTGTCAGGGGGCTGGAGAGATGGCTCTTTATTGACTGTTCTTCCAGAGAAGTTAAGTTCAGTTCCCCTCAACCACACAGTGGCTCACAACCATCTGTACGGGATCCAATGCCCTCTTCTGGTGTGTCTGAAGATACCTATAGCATACTCATACAAATAAACATTTTTAAAAAAAGTTTAGTGTGTAGCATCATCTGAAAGACAAAATATTAAATTGGGATTTCCTGGCATCTGGTGGATAATTTTTTTTTGTGTTTAACATGAAGGCTTTGTGTTTATTCATTTCCCCATTCATTTACCAAGTGTATATGTAGGGAGGATGTGGTTTGAAATTATACAAAATTAAATGATAAAACAGTAAAAACATCCAAGCAACCAGTATATAACACGAAGGTAATACTAGGGAAGAATATTTATTCTTTTTACATGTGGCCCTAAAGTATAAAGAAGATGCCTTAATAGAGCTAAATCCTTCTCTTAGACACTGTAGCACACTGAAATGTGATCTGGTGAGGGGCTAAGCCAGGTGAGAAGCATCACCAAAGGTCTTAAAATTGAGGGTGTTACAGTAAGTAGAATTGATGGAGCTTTGAAGAGAAGTTGTATTTCCAGTAGAGGCAGGAATGTGCAGTGAAGAAGGACTGGGAGATGTCGGTGATGAGAAATAACACACTCACCCATGTGTGGTTGACCCTGAACCCTGAGCTAGTGTGATCCAGACTGCTGGTTGGCATGCCAACCAAGCCCTTGGATTTTCTCCATCTGCCTCAATATGCATCTAAAGTCCACATTTCCAATTTCTTATCATTTCTATCTGGCTGCTGTTTAAATTCTTTCATTTATTTTTAAAAATAGAGAATTAATCTATCCATTTGTACTTGAAACGAT